TGCCTTCCGAGGCGCCCCCAAGACGCCCCCAAGACCGCCTCAAGACGGCCCAAAAGGCTCCCAAGAGGCCCCCCAAAACGTCCCAAAAACGTCCCAAGACGGCCCAAGAGGCGCCCACGATGGCCAAGTCGTGCGGTAGTAGACCGGATACGGAGCATTCTCAAGCACACCCAGTGAGCGAATGCGAAAACATGCGTGTGTGTGTGTCTGTGCGCAGGCAAAGCAAAAACAAAATCAAGCAAAAACAAAAACAAAGTCAAAGCAAAAGCAAGGGCAAAAGCAAAAGCAAAGGCAAGGCAATGCAAAGCAAACACAAAACCAATGCGAAAGTGTAGATGTAGATGTAGGTGTAGGTGTAGATGTAGATGTAGATGTAGGTGTACATGTAGGTGTATATGTAGATGTAAATGTAAGTCTCGCTGTTGATGCCGATGTAGATGTAGATGTAGATGCAGGTGTAGATGTTAATGTAGCTGTCGGTGTAGATGTAGATGTTGCTTTCCTAGATGCTCCAATTCCTAAGTAGGGTCGCACTGGGATAATTGTAAAGGTGTAGGTGCCCAAATAATTGCCAATCTTCAGAAGGAGGCCTTTGAGCAATTCGGGCCTGAAGTGGCTAGGCCGAAGCCCGCGACTTGCGATCTTGTGAGTCTCCGAGCTGCCATGGTACGTGAAATTGTTGGTCGTTGGCACTTCTCTGAGGGAACTTGTCTGATGCGGTGGGCCCCCTTGGCGGCAGCGTCCTTGTGTGGGCGGCTGAACGTTTGTTGTTTGCCGCTGCCGCCTTCGCCGTCGCCACTTTATTGGGTTCGTTCGCGTCTTGCTGGCGCGTTCTGTTGTTTTTGTTTGGGATCGAGGTGTAGGGCCTGGCCTGGGATTGAAGTTTTGGCTTCGGAACTGTAGCCTGCAACCTTTGGTGCTTGATACCGAAAGGTTCGATACTGTTGTCGGTCCTGTGATCTCTCCGACGCCAAGCAGTCTATTATCATGGGGCTCTGGATGCCAGGAGCTATTTTTTCCGAGTTGTATGCGTGCTCGCCCGAAGTGGCCGCCAACTCATCGATCGGTCATTTTTTGGGGGCTGGGGGATCAGGAGGGAGGGAGGGAGGAGGAGGAGGAGCAGGAGGAGGAGGAGCAGGAGGAGGAGGAGCAGGAGGAGGAGGAGGAAGAAGAGGAGGAGGAGGAGGAGGAGGGGCATGAGAAGGAAGGACACGGATGAGAAGAAAAAGGAGGATTTGGTGGAACCAGTTGAGGTGCACGGGGAGGCGGAGGGGCAGGAGAGCACGACGTGGCGTGGGGTGATGATGAGGAGGAAGAGCCAGTGGGCGGATGAGGGCAAAAGGAAGAGGACGATGAAGAACAAACAGGAGGGGTTGAACAGGAGGGGGAGGGGGGGGAGGGACGGACGAGGTAATGGAGGGCGAGGATGCTTCAAGGGGGAGCACATGGAAGGTGGAGAGTGACCAGGACGACCAGGAGGCGGCGGACGAGTGATGGTGCCTGGTGGTGGTGGTGGTGGACGACGGTGGTGGTGGTGATGGTGGTGGTGATGGTGCGGATGACGAGGGAGCGCCTCCTTGCTCCCTGTTCCCTCCCCCTCCCTCGTGTGTCCCTCCTTCCTCCCCCGTGCCCTTCCCCCCTCGTGCCCTTCCTCCCCCTCCTCCCCCCCCTCCTTCCTCCCTGTTCCCTCTCCCTCCCTCGTGTGTCCCTCCCTCCTCCCCCCGTTCCCTGCCTCCCTCGTTCCCTTCTCACCCCTCCCTCCCCTCCTCCTCCCTGTTGTTTGCTCTTGCCCCCCCCCCCCCCCCCCCCCCCCCCCCCACCCCCCCCCCCCAACCCCCCACCCCCCCCCCCCCCCCCCCCCCCCCCCCCCCCCCCCCCCCCCCCCCCCTCCTCCATCGCAGGTCACTCCCTGCTCCCCCCCTTCCCTTCCTCCACTCGTGCCCTCGCTCTCCCCGCCCCCCGCTCCTCGCCCTCTCCCTGGCTGCCGCCCCCCCCCCGTGGGAGTCAAACGGCACCGTAACGGGTATTACTAACGGGTACTTTTAATTTTTTACGCTTCGCGTATCCCCACCAGCCCATCTCTCAACAGCAACTCTTGCGAAGCGTGCCGACAGTCGTGTTTTTCAGGCGTGTTTCCGCCTGCCTCCGCATATCTCCCCTGTTACTCCTTCCTCCCGCCTCCTTGTACATCCTCCTTGTGGGGGGAGCGGGAGAAGGACGAGGCGGAGGAGAAGGGAGAGAAAGCGCGCCTCGTGGTTTGAGTCGTGTGTGGTTTCTCGTCCTGGTGTGAGTCGTTCGGGCCCATTCTTCCCGGTGTGAGTCGTTGGGCTTATTCGTGGTGTGAGCTTCGGGCCCTCTTGTCCTGGTTGAGTCGTTCGGGCTTCTCGTGGTTGTGCAGTTGTTCGGGCCCCTCGTCTTGGTGTGAGTCGTTCGGGGGGGGGCCTTCTCACTACTGGTGTGACTCGTTCGGGCTCCTCGTGGTGTGAGTCGTTCCGGGGCC